CTATGCATTTTTCTAAAATCGGGTTTTATTCGAACTTTTGCTAACGACAAAAGTTTATCTGTCGTCTCTGTCTCCGGGAACTGCGCGTCACAAAAATGAACCGAAAGCCACTTCAGCTCAGTCACTATAAGAAATCGGCTCTGTCTAATGCCTTTAAATGTCTAAATATTCAGGCTAATAAATGTTATCTGATTATGTAATCCATATGAAAACGAGAGGTACAGAGGATCTACTCAAACATGTAGCCTATGTAAGCGCTTCCCAATGAGAAAATGACAAGGGTGAAAATCTCGCTCTAATGAAATGTAGCAGGCTAAATCGCCCTGAATTAAAATGTAAAAACAGATCAAATAATGTATTTGTCGAAATGTTGCGATATTGTTTCATTTAAGTTCATAATTATTCTATAGGCCTACATGTTATTTAATTTAGCAGCATTACCACGAAGCACCGTGGTTCGATATTTATTTGAATAATAAAAAAAATAATAAAAACTTAATTCACAAATTGCATGCCTGGTTGAAAGGATCCAAAGATCCCTGTAGAATTTAATATTAAGTTGAACATTTTGTTCATGACAACAAATGAACATGCGTTTTTTCAGATTATATTTAGTTTTGCTTGGAAAAAGCTGGCCCAAACCAGTTTTATTTAATCAATTATTGAAATAATGAAATATTTAGTAATAAACTTTTATGACAGAAAATTCACTAGGCTACATGTAACTTAAATCATTTAATTCCTTCATTATCAACACTGTCTAGAATAGCGATTTAAGTGTGAATTACGACTTCTCTTTGTGTTAAATCAGCCTCAGACTCCGATAGCCTGTGGGGGGTTGGGGGACAGTTCAGTGCTGTGCGCGCAGGACAATAGGCCTAGGTGTTAATGTTCCTCTTTCATATGGAGAGCGAGGGAGACTAAATAAACTTGTTAAAAAGAGATTCAGCGCGAGAGAGGCAAAGAAAAACGCATGTTTTAATTTAATTATGTTGCTTTGGACAATTTTCGTTTTGTAGGCCTACTGTTTTAATTGTTTAATGTCATTTATTTGGCAATACAAATTTAAAATGTCGCAAGAATAATATTAGCCTAGTGTTTCTTATTTTGCATCGCAAAAGAAATAAACTCTAAACCCGATGCAACCCTGTTTTAAATAAAAAAAAACACTTTATTTAAACCTTGAAATGTTCGAACTTGGTTTCAAACTTAAGTAATTTTAGTGTTCTTTTACATTACACAATAATTTAGCAGACTAAAGACGAGCTTCTTCATTTTCATTTTCTGATGCAATCGGCTGACAATCTTCCTTCATCAGTTTGTGTCCTTTGTGCAGCGGCTGCGGTTCTACTGGAATGTAGCAAATTTATGTTGTAATGATAATTAAACAAAACTCTTGACTTTAAATAAGTAAACAGTTATAAACAGTTAGCTATTTAAGCATCAAGAAGGTAAAATATAAACGCTGTTGGCCAACATCGGTTAACAACATGTATGCCACATTGAGATTCGATCTCGGGTCGATTGAAGCTCCCTGAAGCTCGTGTTGATGCGTTGATCACTGAGCCACCGTTTGTACGCTGTTAGAGTTAAAGTCTTATGCTTTTGTAAAGCTTCATTGATGTAGCCTAAATGTTTTTATTGCAATGTTTTATGTTTTCATTATTTATTCAATTTCATTTCAGTATTTCAGCCTAATTTCAGTATTGTGGTAATGAATTATTTTAACTACGTTTCACTTGTTGAATTCATCTGCTACCAGCTTTCAATCGCTCTGAATGAGCAGCAGATTACGCATTAGAGAGAATAAACGAACACTTTTCAGAGTCTATGATTGTAGCGCCTCTTAGCGGTAAAAGGTAGCAAATACACCCCACATTTTACCGCCGCGGTGGAACGGCTGATGTGGGCGTTGTCATGGCTTTCCTCTACATTTGCGTTTGAATAGCGCGCGTTCTCCGTGGGCGTGTCAGATTAACGCGTAATGAAGTGTAATGAGCTGGGGAAAAAAATTCTGACAGCACTCTCTTTTCATACAGATTACATAAACTGAGAATATTTGTTTTTTATATAAATTACTTCATTGAAAAGAAGAGAATTCAAGCTTCATAAAGAAAAATCTCTCGTGCCTGTGTGACAAGTATTTGCAGAGTTAGAGTTAATTTTTCGGACGCGTTTCAGAATGGACTGCACTGACAGAGAGAAGGCAAAACTCGCATCATGTTTATTTTTCTTCATTTGACAAAAAGCACAACACTTTGTTTTTATTGTGAGTATACAGAAAAATAATATACACTAAACAGGATCGACTGATGTATAACACTTACATGTAAGATTAAAATCAACAGAGTATTTTGAGTCTCTTTTGCACTGATAAGAAAAAAAGTCTGCCTATCGCGCCGGCGATAGGCAGATCACTAAATTCGAGGCTAAATTCGAGGCTTCTAGTCATTCCTAGGATATCTAAGTCCACTAAAGGAGGGAGGGCGTTCTCACATTTAGCTCCTAAACTCTGGAATAGCCTTCCTGATATTGTTCGAGGCTCTGACTCGCTGTCCCAGTTTAAAACTAGATTAAAGACGCATCTTTTTAGCCAAGCATTTACATAATGCTTACCTTTTATAATACTGCTGAATCAGATCAAATGCATTTAATACTATAAAACTTGAAGAGACTGTAGGTTATCTGTATAGGTTGCATAGTATTTGCAGTCATTACGTTCCTGTATATTGCGTGAATGACGGGTGGTTGGGCAGATATTGTGTTGCGGTAGGTAGTATGCCATACGGAACCGTTGTCCACTGAAACTGCCTATTCACGCACCAGTGGGGCTCGACAGCCTTAGTCAACGGGTTGGCGCGTATGGTTGGGCTGCGGAGAGATTGTGAGATTGTGGTTAGGTCTCAGCAGCAGGAGGGACGTAGAGGTCAGTAAGCTGGGCTGAGTTGAGTGGGGGACGGAGGGGGGTGATTTTGGGACGCAAGAGTCACTGTCTTCATGTTTTGTCATTTACGCCTGTGTTATGGAAATCATCATTATGAACAGCAGCTACGCTAATTATTTTCCCTTTGCTTTTCTGCTGTTATCTCGGGACGCGAGTCCCGAGAAAATGGCGTTCATCAGCTCCAGTTTGTATCCAGCCTCTCACGGAGACTTCAGATGCTCCAATCACAAAGCCTGTGAAGTGACGACTCAGCACGGGCGATATGGACTCTCTATGGTGGACGGCACTGATCCTCAACAACTCGTCTTAAGACCGGCGTGCATACTTGGACTTCCAAAAAATACTCTAAATGTTCCGATCCAATCTGACTTGTAATGCTGCCCGAATCATGCACTGTTCCTTCGTTGGCCAGAGGAGAACTGGCCCCCCGACTGAGTCTGGTTTCTCCCAAGGTTTTTTTCTCCATTCTGTCACCTGATGGAGTTTTGGTTCCTTGCCACTGTTGCCTTGGCTTTTGGCTTGCTTAGTTGGGGACATTTAACATTTAATATTATTGATCTGCCTTACTTAAGGTGGACGTTGACGCAATTTCTTTTAGAAACAAACTTTGTTATATTGTTTTCATGTTATCACTGTGAAGCGCTTTGATACAATCTGTATTGTAAAAAGCGCTATATAAATAAAGGTGACTTGACTTGACTTGACATAAAGGCAATGAAGAGACAAAAAACTATCACCTCGTTTTTTCAAAAACCAAACAATGTAAGTATCCTATGCCTGTTGACTTTCCCAGATGTGGCAGATTAGATTTGTTAGGGAATAGCTAGTCTGACAATAAGGCTTTTGCACTTAGTAAACACAGCAAAATGTGGAGACCATAACTATGCATTTAGGTGAGTGGACAGAGGCAAATAATGAATGAACACAAAAAGAATGGTTGAATAAATCAAACAATTTATCGTCGTCAGGAAATAACGTTTTATCTTATCATTTAACCCATTGAACTGTATAAATTGACTGAGGTATGTTCACTGTCGTGTAAGCCACTAAAAATAATTATAATAAGTCAATTTGTGTGGTGCAAGGTTTATGCAAACAACAAATAAAGGCTTACATAAACTTTTGACATCCTCTTATAGCAGGAAATCATGTTTTTTTTATTGTACGGAGGATATAGATTCTTAAATGAATGGCTATGAAAAACATTTCTTAATATGTCATACATCATTTGAAAGATATTTCTAATCTATAAATTGCAACAAACTTGTAATTAACACTTAAATTTAATTTTTTTAGTTATTCTTAGACATTTTTGAAATAGTAGTTTTAGCCATTCATTCTCAGGAATATGTTGTATTTCACATTGTTGTGAAATTATATTGTGGTATAGAGGGTTAATTGAAATTATAAGATTTAAAATGTTGTCCTCATGGCCTGCAGGCAATTTCTGATGACAGTAAGGCAGGCCCTAGTCAGTCAAGTGAGGATCTGCAGGAGGGCAGCCACAGTAGAAAAAGACAGCATGAGGAAGGAGAGACAGTAGAATTACAGACAGAAGAAGCAGGGACAGAACAACAAGGAGGGACAGGAGGCAACACAGAGGGAGAGGATGTTGACATGATAATGACATATACAAAGCCAAATCAACCTGACCCTAAAGTTTTGCAAAAACAAGTGATGAAAGACCGGACACTGACATTCCAAAAATCATGGTATGAGAAGTATCCTTGGCTGCATGTTAGTATGGGTACAGATGGTGTTCTGTGTTTTCATTGCTCTAAGTACTTCAAGACAGGGAAACCAGCACAAGCCAAGAGTATAGACCCAGCTTTTGTCAGTACTGGATTTAAAAACTGGAAAAAAGCACTTGAAAAATGTTCCATGCATGAGAAATCAGAAATCAGAAATCAGTCACAACATTGCTGTTACAACTGCTGCCTATGAAAACAGGCCAGTTACTACACAGTTGAGCAGTGGAGTCAGTACACAGCAGGCAGAAAACAGAGCTAGCCTGTTAAAAATAATAGGGGGTGAGATGTTCCTGGCGAGGCAGGGATTGGCCTTTAGGGGGCATGAACATCATAAAGGTAACCTTGACCAGCTTTTAAAATACAAAGCTGAAGATGATCAATCATTCACTAGATGGTTATCTGCAAAGAGGGGGGTGCACACATCCTGGGATTGTCAAAATGAGCGTATAAATTTGATGAGTTCATCGATTATCAGGACAATTGCAGATGAGATCCGGTCCCTTCCAGTGTTGCAGTATTCGATAATTATGGATGGGACAAGGGATATCTCTGGTGTTGAGCAGGAGGCGCTGTGCCTACGTTATGTTGACACTGATTTGCTGGTGCACGAAGACTTTATAGGGTTGTATGAAACAACTTCTACAACAGGTGAAAACCTTGCCAGAATCATTTTGGACGTTCTGTTGAGACTGAATTTGCCAATATCTGGCCTCAGAGGTCAAGCATATGATGGGGCTTCAAATATGTCTGGAAAGTACTCAGGTGCCCAGGCTGTTATTCAGCGAGCACAGCCACTAGCGCCATATATACATTGTGGAGCACACTGTGTTAATTTAATTACACAACAGGCTTGCTCAGCCTCCAGTGTCGTGCGAAATGCACTTGACTGGATACATGAACTTGGTACATTTTTTGGGCAGTCTGGTAAGCTGAAAGACAAGTTTAAAGCCATTGTTGCAGCTGAAGGGGAAGGGCCAGCCCTGTCCATCAGGCCTTTATGTCCCACTAGGTGGACTGTACGCTCACCTGCTATCCGTGCTGTTCTCAGCCAATATGGGATGGTACTAAATGCACTGGATGAGATGGCTGCAAGTAATTCTGGATCTGCAAGCCGGGCAGAGGGCTTACGTGTTCGACTGCAACAGGGTAATGTTGTACTGGGACTTCTGCTTGCTTTAGATGTGATCAGTGAACTAGAGGTTCTAATTGCATCTCTCCAGAAAAAGACTCAGACAGTGGAGGGCATGCTCTCTGCAGTCTCTCTTGTCCAAGAAAGCTTGAAATCCAAAAGAAACACTGAACACTTTGAGGCAGTCTTTAAGGAGGCAGGAGACATGTGTGACAATCTGTCTCTAGAGACCATTGTTCCACCACGCACACATAGGCCCCCTAAGAGATATTCTGGGCAGGCTCCTGCATACACACCTGGATCAGCTGTGGATTTTTACAGAGTAGAGTTCTACCGTGTCCTTGACACAGTAGATGCACAAACTACTGAGAAGTTTATGCAACCAGGCATTCAAACTTTAAAAGAACTGGAAAACTCACTCCTGACACCCATTACAAATAATGCAGCAGTTTGTAAATATCCTGAACTGAACGAGGAAGTCTTGAAAGTCCAATTAGCCATGTTTAAAAACAAGTACAAGGTCAGCACAACTGCAGATGCTGTGCATGTTTTGAGAGAAATGCCCCCTGAAGTCAGGGGCCTATTTGATCAGGTAGAGACATTAGTAAGATTGTTGATGGTGGTGCCCATATCATCTGCTGAGGCAGAGCGCAGTTTTAGTGGGTTACGCAGGTTGAAAAATTGGTTGCGATCAACCATGACACAAAAAAGACTCAATGGCATTGCTGTGTGCCATATTCACCAAGAGAGGCTTGACAGACTGGACAGACAAGAAATTGCCCAGCTGTATGTTCAGGGTAATGAAAGGAGGAGAGATGTTTTTGGGTCCTTCATTGAGTAAATTTGTTTGGCTGCACTAGACGGAATTTCTCATACTCCGTATAGCCTACTTACTTATTTTTATTTATGTAAATATGTTGTTGTTATTTTATTTTATTATTATTATTTGCACATAGGTTCTTTGCTTTTTTGTTCATAATGACTTTGTATGCTGAGATAAGCAAATGTTTAAATAAAACATACTTTGCTGAAGACATTAAGTTTTGGTGGGTGATTGGCATACTAGTCAAATAACAGTCTGATCATGCATTGCTAGTGGTGATCAGGTAGTCATTTGTTTACCTTTGTTCATTGTTGTTTATCCATGATTTCAAATAAGAATCCCCCAATGGCTTTTTAGTGCAAATCATTAGCCCAAATTACACAAAGTAACTACTTGAGCACTAGTCAAAGCCCAAATTACGCAAAATAACAAATTGAGTTTAAATCATTTGCTGACAGCTTGGTCCCCCCCAGTTAAAAAATCCTATCTGCGCCTCTGCGCGAAAGTACATTAATATTATGCGCGAGAGTGAATCTCTCTGCTCGCGCGCGGAATATGATGTGGCGAGCGTGAATCTCTCTGCTCGCGCGCGGAATATGATATGCCGAGCGTGAATCTCTCTGCTCGCGCGCGGAATATGATATGCCGAGCGCGAATCTCTCTGCTCGCGCGCGGGAACTGGGCGCGCGCTCTCAGATACACTTCTCTTGTAAGAATTCTCTCTCTGGGCTGAGTGGGCTCGCTGCCTCGCTCAGAGAATATGCCTGCACTTAAAACGTGTTCAGTGCAATCGCGAATTGCTCCTCTTCCCCAGCTAACAATTTTAGGTTATAAGAACGTTTTCATAACGTTCCCATTAAGTTATAAAAACGCTATTTCTGAATGTTCTAGGGAATTTCAAAAAGTCCAGTTTTTTAGACGTTGTATTAACGTTATTTCTTGGTTATAAGAACGTTCAATTCTCCCGTTATGTAAACGTTGTATTAATGTTATTTCCTGGTTATAATAACGTTAGAACGTTCAATTCTCCCTTTATATAAACGTTGTATTAACGTTCTTGCTTGGTTATAAGAACGTTATTCAAACGTTCAATTCTCCCATTATATAAACGTTCTCTTAATGTTTTTCTAAGATAATGAAAAACGTTTCATTCATAACAAGGTAGCCTATATAATAGGCCTATATGAAGAACCTAAAACAAGAACTTTCAGATTTTAAAATTAAGACAAAAATAAATAAAAAAAGACCCATGAATCATGTCTATGTAGTCCACTGAAGTCGAGTTGAATTGAACCCAAGTAGGCCTAGTTTATTCCAATAAACCGATTTGGGTTGAAGTGACCATATGAAATTAACATGAACATAAACTTGGAAATTGTTGTAAAAATTAGCTATATAAATTAAATGAACTTTAACTTGTGAATGTCATTGGTTGTTTTTGGTCATAGTCCTTGTCCTTGTGTTCCCATTGTCTCTTGTCTAGCTTTGTTCCCTGTCCCATTGTTGGTGATTCTATGTTTAGTCCAAGTTTATGTTCATGTTAATTTCATATGGTCACTTCAACCCAAATCGGTTTATTGGAATAAACTATAGGCCTACTTGGTTCAATTCAACTCGACTTCAGTGGACTACATAACACTATAGACATGATTCATGGGTCTTTTTTAAAATTGTAGGTTCTTCATATAGGCTAGGCCTATTATATAGGCTACCTTGTTATATAAAAAACATTAAGAAAGGTTTTAATAATTATTAAAACATTTCTTAATGTTTTTTTATTGAATGAAACGTTTTTCATTATCTTAGAAAAATATTAAGAGAAGGTTTATATAATGGGAGAATTGAACGTTTGAATAACGTTCTTATAACCAAACAAGAACGTTAATACAACGTTTATATAAAGGGAGAATTGAACGTTCTAACGTTATTATAACCAGGAAATAACATTAATACAACGTTTACATGACGGGAGAATTGAACGTTCTTATAACCAAGAAATAACGTTAATACAACGTCTAAAAAACTGGACTTTTTGAAATTCCCTAGAACATTCAGAAATAACGTTTTTATAACTTAATGGGAACGTTATGAAAACGTTCTTATAACCTAAAAATTGTTAGCTGGGGAAGAGGAGCAATTCGCGATTGCACTGAACACGTTTTAAGTGTATGGGGTAAGAATTCATTTACAATTCTGCGCACGCAAGATCACATTTTGAGCGCGCAAAATGACATTTCGCACGCGCGTGAACTGAGTTTTGAGGAGAAATGTTCGTCTCGCAGATAAGAAAATATTTCGAGCGAACGAAAATCAATTTTGCATTTAAAATAAGTATTTGGATGTGCGCAGACGTTCTCTTTCGCATGTGCAAAGTTTCACTTTCTTGCTCCTCTCATACCAGCCATAAGCGCTCTCGAAGCGCAGACGGCTCGCGTGCTCAACACAACCCAGCGTTACAATATGCCATAATTCCAGCCAATCAGAGATGAGGCTGCTAAATTCGGATTGGCTGGATTGAAAACCAATCACAAGACTCCCTGCATCACCGACTGTGGACGAGGAAAAATACATGGTGGAAGATGTTTATGTTTAATTTGTTTAATGGCTTGAACACTTCAAAGTTCAAGTAAACAAAAACAATAACAGCATAGATGTTCTGGAAAAAGAACTATCTTACTAAAAAAATATACTGTATTTTCTTATATATTATTTTAGGATGGATAGTGTGCACATTGGGATGCAAGCTTGTTCCCCTCACTGCAAAAAAAAAAAGAAAAAGAAAAGAAAGACGTGGGTAAAAATGCAAACATATATGCAAATATAACTGTAAGTGAAAATCTTGGATGTGTGACCCACAAGACTTCTATATAATTACTCGCATAATTAGATTTTTTTTTTTTTTTTTTTTGCAGTGAGGGGAACAAGCCTGCATCCCAATGTGCACACTATCCATCTTAAAATTGTATATAAGAAAATACAGTATATATTTTTTAGTATGATAGTTGTTTTTACATGACATCTGCTGTGAATGTTTTTGTTGAAATAATTCCAAGGATATGAAGTAGATTGATTATTATTTTAACGTTATTACATTGCATTTCTACGTTTATTTGATGGCTTTTTTTTTATTTTTTATTCTGATGTGAGTGATGTACCGTTTTTACACACTTATTTCATTAAAAGGGGAAAAGTCTGTCCATCTTCATTTCTGAAAATGTGTAACATTTGAGACCCCAGCTCGGTCACGTTCATATTTCACTAATGTTAATTACATTAGAAGTTAGAACTACCTCTTGAGGTGTAGCAAACACTGGGACATGCCATTATGTACAGTAATAGTACAATTTAATTTTGATTAAAAATAAGCTAAAGAAAATTAGCTTAAAATAAGCTAAAAAATAAACTGTGATCGTCGAGTGGTAGACAATTGAACTTAAATAGAAGTGTTCAAGCCATTAAACAAATTAAACATAAACATGACTCATTTGAACCGATTCGTTTTAATGAATGGTTAAAACAACTGATCTTTCCAACACTGAACTCTCAAGACGTCTGAATCGGTGTAGGCTATAACTAATCGGTAACACTTTACAATAAGGTTTCATTTATTACATAAATTACATAAAAAGTACAGTTTGCTTAGTGTAAGCTTTAAAACAAATAAAACCACTTAGTTTTTTCCCCCGAAAAAGCATATGACTTTTTTCCACACAGTGCTGTCAGGAATCGATAAGAGAATCGTTAAATTATCGGATCGATAAGTAGAATCGTCAGTGGCATTGATATTGATAAAATCTTATCAATTCCCATCCCTATTCATAACAGTCCTTTGCCGCCACCTACTGGACGAAACTATGTAAAAATCGTATGTACTGAAATCGGTGAAAATCCCCACAGACTGACAGTCTGTTTTGTCACAATATATATGTTTAATATCTAATAAACTAGTTTCATGCATTTAATCAAGTATTTTGGAACAAACATAATCACAGTGTCACATCAATCATCCAGTTGTTTTTAGGGTAAATAAATACTACATTGGTAAATAAAGCTGGAATCATTCTGTTGGATGTACACTATGCTGTAAGGCTTAAGCCTGCATTGATTTATGTCAATGTTAAAAACAGTTTTTTCTTTTTACTTTGATGAAAAGAAAGTTCAAAAGAACTACATTTATCTGAAATAGGAACTTTTGTAGCATTGTACACTAGCATTAAAAAGCTTGCGGTTAGTAAGAATTTATAAAAAAAATAATACTTTTATTCAGTATTAAATTGATCATAAGTGACAGTAAATACATTTATAATAAAAGATTATATTTCAAATAAATGCTGTTCTTTTGAACTTTCTATTCATCAAAGAATCCTGAAAAATAAAATGTATGATGGTTTCCACACAAATATGAACTGTTTCCAACATTGATAATAATCATAAATGTTTGTTGATCATCAAATCATCATGATTTCTGAAGGATCATGTGACACTGAAGACTAGTAATGATGTAAGTAAAGATGCTGTAAATTCAGCTTTGATCACAGGAATTATTTGTTTTAAAATACATTAGAATAGAAAAATTTAAATTGTAATAATATTTCACAATATTACTTTTACTGTATTTTTGATCAAACAAATGCAGCCTTGGTTAGCATAAAAGACTTAAAATCTTACCGACCCCAAATATTTAACAGTGTATATGAGAGAAAAAAAATCACAGGAATAAATTACATTTTACTATATATTCACATAAAAAACTGTCTATATACACTCACCGGCCACTTTATTAGGTACACCTGTCCAACTGCTCGTTAACACTTAATTTCTAAGCAGCCAATCACATGGCGGCAACTCAGTGCATTTAGGCATGTAGACATGGTCAAGACAATCTCCTGCAGTTCAAACCGAGCATCAGTATGGGGAAGAAAGTTGATTTGAGTGACTTTGAACGTGGCATGATTGTTGGTGCCAGAAGGGCTGGTCTGAGTATTTCAGAAACTGCTAATCTACTGGGATTTTCACGCACAACCATCTCTAGGGTTTACAGAGAATGGTCCGAAAAAGAAAAAAACATCCAGTGAGCGGCAGTTCTGTGGGCGGAAATGCC